TCATTCCCCTGTACCCCCCTCCAACCCTCCCCCCGGTGCCCCTCAAAGAGTTGCTCTGTTTCTATTCACAATGGCTCCTTGGGCTGAGTGTATTTACGTATACACATGTAAAGAGGTGGTTGTGAGGGGTGTTGCGGGGGAAGAGGGGGCACGTGGGGGGGGGAAGGCAAAGGGGGAAGAGAGAAAATACATGAGACATGGAGCTCGTTGCGGACAGGCGTGGTTCCTTGCCCTCTGTCGCGACGTATTTATATCTAACGAGGAGTGCAGCGCGAACGAATGTGCATCGCACGCGGACTCGTTTGCTGGACCCTTTACTCTACCATTCCGCAGATCTGCCCGCCACATTTCCAGACTCTTCATACACTGGGGTTTCGCATCGCTGAACACTCTGAATTCTCTCATACATGCACACTTTATCCCCCCTCCCGGCCCCTCCCATTTACATTCAATTTTTTTCATCCCTCTATTTTTATTTTTATTTTTTAATATTTTTTTTCACACCCGCAATTCGCTCAATTCGCTCAACTCGCTCAACTCGCGCTACTCGCGCTACTCGCGCTACTTGGGCTATTCGCTTAATTCGCATCACGTTACGCTAACGATAATTCGACAATAGAATTTGGATGGTAATGCACGTTTTTTTCAATTCTCTTTCAATTATTTATTTATTTGTCCATCCGCAATTCGCACAACTCGCGCTATTCGCCTGATTCGCATCACGTGATACTGAAGATAATTCAACAATACCATGCAGATAACAACAGGCAATCCAGACGGGCCCATTGTTTTTCAATCCTCTCCTAATTTTTCATTTTTCTTCACCCGCAATTCGCCCAACTCGCGCAACTCCCTCAATTCGCATTACTCGCGCTATTCAGCGAATTCACATAACGTGACACACCGATAACTGAACAATCCCATTCATCTAGTAACAGACATACCCATTGTGCCCCCCCCATGCCAGGGTAAATGCCCTAGCCGACCCAATTACCGAATTATCATTGAAACAATAACCGAGGGGCGAGTGACGATAACGGGTTGACGCGAACAAGTCGCGGCTGAAGTCGCCTCGAGTGGGCTATTTTCGTGGAATATTTCGTGTCACTCTCCCGGATGACGGGGAACATTTTCTTTTTTTTTTTTTTTTTGGGGGATGCTCATTGCTCGGCGAGCCGTATTCCAATCCCAAAGCCCAAAGCGCGTGTAAATGACGATGAACGATGCGCACTTGCGCGTGCTCGATCTCACTTTTCACATCATCCACCCTCAGCACACATCACCTGGTGTGTTATAAAACGCCAGCGTTAAATCCCCAACCACCCCCTTTACCACCCACCCCCGCATCACTGTGCGCCAGCGAAAATATCAAAAATGACACTTGTTGCACGAGGTTAAAGTGGATCGAGTGATGACGGTGCGGTGACCCCGGTCTATCCCTCTCTCTCCCTCTCTATTCCTCATTGTCTCCATTTCCCTCTAGCGTGCGGTTGGAAATTTCATTTTTCGATCAGTCAAACCCCTCCCTCTTCACGGCAATTCAACCCCTTCCTCCACCCTCTCCCAACCCCGCGCCACTAAAAAAATACAAAAAATCATTCACAGGTTCATCTCCATTTTCAAACCGAAAAACCTCCATAAACGATTGCCCAATTTTCATACACCCCTCCCCTCATACCCCCTCCTCCCACCCCCCTGCCGCTCCGTCCCATGAATAATTGCCCGAGTAAAACCGTAAAATCGAATGTTCATGCGTATCAACTTTCCGGGCACGTACAACAAATAAAAGTATTACTGAAAAACAGGATTACGTGGGTTTGAAATAAAAAAAAAATCAACAGGATGATGAAAAATATTGGAATATTTGTGAATTGAATTGAATTGAATTTTTTATTTTAATTTAGAGGGGAAATAATCATGTAATTTCGCGTCCTCGCGTTCTCGCGTTCTCGCGTTTTCGCGCTTTCGCGAATTCGCGAATTTACGTTTTCGCGCTCTGGGAAGGTTCGTCGCCCTGGTACGATTCATCCCACTCTCCGTCGGGAGTATATGGGTGCCAACCCCCGCGTACCCAACCCAGTCTGCCATTACTCCTCTCCCCATCCGAAGAAAAAAAAAAAGGAGAAACGAGAGAAAGAGAGGGGGAGAGAGAGAGAGAGGGAGAAAAAGCCTACGAAGATGCTGAAGAGGAAGAAGAGGAAGAAGAGAGGGTGATGAGGATGAAGAGGATGAAGAGGATGAAGAAGATGAAGAGGATGGAGAGGATGGAGAGGATGGAGAAGACGAAGAGGATGGAAAAGACGAAGAAGACGAAGAAGACGAAGAAGACGAAGAAAACGAAGATGAAGAGAGGGACAAAGTGGAGTTTCGCCCTGGTTCGTGCCAAGCCAACATACACCGAACCCACCCCCGGACCCCGTCGTCTACGTCGTTTCATAGCCCTCCGCCGACGCCGTCACGACCGCGTCTCCCATCCGTTCACCTCCCCCTTTCCTCCCACCCCTCTCATTCGCTGTATTCTTGGCGTTTCGCGCGTTCGCAAGGTCAACAAACTTCCCAACGATAAAAAAAGGGGATCGGAGGGGAAAAAAATAAAATTGTAGCAAATGAAATAACAAAAATGGCGAAAACATCCGGAGAATGCCATGGGACCGATGTAAATAGCACTAGCTGCGCCAGATAACCAATTCCTCACCAATTCCTCACCAATTCCTCACCAATTCCTCATCAATTCGTTATCAATTCGTTATCAATTGATTATCAACCCACAGTCTATTCCCTGGAGATGATGTATCAAAAATTCTAACTCCTCAATATTAAAATTATAAAATATATTTATTTATCTAAAATATAGTAAAATTATTTGGCATGCAGAATCTTTTGTGGGTCAGTCTAGTCCTGGGGAATGGTGCGCCTAAAATTAAGACCCCCATCCTCAGAACCCGACGACCCCCCCCACTCATCCTCAAGTATATTTTCTCACCAGTCCATCCGCGAATATCATCTCCACATGTGATTCACCCTCGCATCTCCATTTTAAATTCACCGAGACTGATACCGTTTCGTCTCACTATCTCACTATCTCATTTTTTTTTTTTCATGAGATTGAAAAGCCCACGGACTTGCCCAGGGTAACTGGTCCCTGACACGAAATTCCACCGAAATCATAGGATCACGCGATTCCTAGAGTCCACCCATCCCACCCACCCACTCCACCAACTAAACACCCACCCCA